GAAAGTTCAGATGCTGCTTGTCTCCCATGTGGTTCAATTTCTTCTCTGTAGCTACTCAATTTTGAAGAATCTGTAGTCAGGCTTAGATGTTCAGTCTCATCCCCACTTCAGTTGATACTTTTTTTTTTAAATAAGGTACTGTCCTGAAGACTCAAGGTACAGTATTACTTGCTGCCACGTCTTTAGTTACCTGAAATACAGTGCAGAAAGAATAGTGTTTTTTTTCTGTTTAAATAAGTGCCTGTTTGCCAATTACTCCAAACAGACATGGAGAGGAGTGCAGCATTAGCCAGTTGTCTTCCATGTAATTGCTTCTTTGCAAAACCAAAGCCTAATGAGTCACCGAACAATGTTTCCCGTGTTTAGCTGAATATTGGGCATTATGGATCTGGAGCAGGGATCTCAGTCAGTTGCAGTCTTTTCCTACGTGCCCCAGCTTAACATGGAGTAACTTCCTTGATTTGAGCCAAAGGAGCTCTGAAATTTTGCTGTATCCGTTCCTGAGTGTTTGGCCTGGTGCTCTTCCCTGCAGCTGGGTGCCCAAAGTTGAAGTTTGCAAAATCACTAGTTACGGTTAACATTCTTGGCCATTAATGTTATGCCTAACTTTATCTAGACTGGCCTCACTGGCTTTAGTCGTGTGTTGTATCTAATTCATATTTAATGTAAAATACAGAAACAACCACAGCAGCGAAAACCAAGACTAGGACACCTTTCCTTCCCTTCTCCTCCTGCCTTACAGAATTGATTTGCTACGAAGCTGCAGCTCGATCTGGTTAATGTGCTCCATTTCCAGGGAAGTTAGTACCAAGTTTCTCTGTATGCAGTGCACAGGTGGTTCACCAAGTGAAGAGGCCCTTCTCACCCAAAAGTCACATAGCGTAATGGCTGGAGCATTCTCCTGGAGGATGGGAACTAAATTTTGGTGTTTCAGTTCCTAAATAAGTGCCCTAACCACTGTCTGCCTTTTATAAAGCAAGCCCTTCTTGAATGCTATTATAAATGTAGGCTGAGGGAGGAGCTATTCATATCCTGTTCTTTTTGGTGAAATTCATTTATCCTCAGAGTTTTCACTGAATCTAGAAAAAGAGACTGTCCTGTATAAATGAGTACCTTTCCTCTGAACTCTGATAATAGCTTTGAGCAGTGTGAAGCTACCATTTGTTTAACGAAATCTTCCCCAACAAATGTATTTTAGGTGTCCATTAATCCTCTAGATTAAAGGAAAGATTATTATTGTTATTTAGGCCTATGTAATATTAGGAAACCACCAGGCACTTCTGTATGTTAGACACCTTCAGCTCTGTGGAGCATCAGGACAGAGAGAGCAATGAAGTGACGCAAGTGAAGCCTAAGGATTGCCAACAGAGCGTTGTATGTGAGCAGTTTGTATTACCCTCAGCCTTGATTAAGCCCGGTTCTGTCTAGTGTTGTCAGTACCTTTTGGGTGTAGAAACACAACTGATTTTTCCGCTTTTTTTTTTCCTTTTTCCTGAAAAAGGAAATAGAGCTAAGTTCTAGCAATCTACCGGAAATACAATGCAACCCAGTGAAACCAAGAGCACTAAACTAAAATTATTCCTATTTTAAAAAGCAGTCTAAACAGTAATGAAGTCTTGGCTAGCCAACCAACATGTTGCAATTACTGGAAGCAGTGCTATTACATAGCCAAAGTTTCAAAAGTTTGTCTGAAATGTCGAGTAGTCGTAAATAAAATACAGTGTGATCTTATGTTGTCAGGCAAGAAGACCTTCAATTTGGGTTTTTCTCTCACAACTCCTTAGTCCCTACACATTGGAGATTGGAATATTTGACCATAATTTAAGGTCTGAAGGAGCCAATGGAAAAATAGAGCATGTTATTGATCAGGCCTTACATCAAACGTAATGTCCTACCGTGCATAGCTGAGTACTGGGCTCTTTAATTACTTCTTAACAAAAATATCAAATATATGCCACATTGACACTTTTACTGCACCATGTACCTGCACTTCTTCCCCCTTTCCTTCTTTGAGCACAATGTTTCTACACCTTTTCTGATGTCTCTTTTTAATCTCCTGTTGCCGCTATAAATGCTCACTCTAAACATTTTGGTGATGCTGTATGCTGAAGAAATTAAGACGTGACAATTGATTTTTTTTTTTCCATTACTCATAACTTAGAAAATCTAAAGAACGCATCCTTTACTGTGTGTATTTTTCGAATTTGCTAGATTTCACAAGGAGCATCCCTAAACGATTTACAGAAAAAGAAGAGACGTGCCCCTCTTCCACCAAGTCCGTCTGCTCCACCCACTCCTGCCATGCCAAACAGGACAGAAGAAAGGGAGGACAAGCGGAAGAGCACAATGGGTGAGCGATGTTCTTGTCTCTGTGTAATCCCTCGCATGTGCTTTAGACACTTGCTGTTCAGCACTTCCATAACTCGGTTATGCTGTGAGCTGGGGACCTTTGTAACTTGGGGGAAAAAAAACATATTTATTCTGCAGAACGAAAGTCTGGAAACAAGTGTTTGTATGTTACCTTTTATCTTAACAGCACTTTCAGGCTACCATAGGGTAGTAAAAGGTAGACACTTAGCAGACGAATTGAAAGTTTTGCATGCTTTGGGTATTCAGAGGCACTAGTCTTGGGCCCATTCTGTGCCTTTAAAGTCACAGTAGTTTGATTAGTAAATGGAAAGTGAGGAGAGACAAGTCAGGCAATACTGAATGCTTTTGAAGCCCTGGGGTTCCCCTAGAACTGAAATATATTTGAGCTAGTACAGGATCATCTCCTGTTCCTAAAGCCTGAAGATATTTTAGTTTCTTGCACTCGTCTAGCAGTTTAACATCAACTGCTCATGCTTAATGAAGTTTATCTTTTTAATTTAGTGTTTAGTCCTATTTCAAGTTAATATCTATTGAGTCTTTAGCTAATCAGTAGAAGAAAAGAGCTGATGCTCTGAAAGAAGTTCCATACATAGCTGGTGACAATAAAGAAACTCTAATCGTCAGCTGTACGTGACACCATATTTACTTTCATGTAGAAGGAGTGAAAAATGCTCTCCCAGATCTCTGTCATTATTGGACTGCTAGCTTATTTAGATCAGTGGGAGCTTTGCCTGAGTGAGGACCCCAAGATTAGGCTTTTAGCAAACAAAGTGATTTCATGATGAGCAAAGATATGAGATAATAACCCCACATATTGGAACTCGTTTTTCAGTACATTAAGAGAATCATTCTTCAAGTGCCATAATGCACTCAGTGCACTCCAGTTCGTGCCTTTGACCTCGTGTTTCATAAAATGCCTAAGACATACAGATATGACATCCTGTCATACATAATTGCTTACATTATGAGTGCCTCACAGTTTAGAAAGAAACCTCTTGGCTTTGTTCCAACATTTATTTTCAGTAAATGCTTCACATTTAATGCCTCAGCATTTATGTAGCAGCAGGAGTCCATTATCTTGTGACATGTTCGACTCCATTGACATCTCTTATTTAAACCCTCTAAGGGGAATGTTATCACTGTGCCATTTAATACAGGAGTTTTCAGAAAACTGGCTTTCTGTTAACCGTTGCTGATGCCACAATCTGTCATTCCTGATGCCTTCTATTACAGCAAGTCACTTATTCATGACATTTGGTGCTTTAACTTTTTGTAAGTGTTAATTTTATTTTATGACAGTGCTAGGAATGTTGCAGATGAAACAGAACAGACCACTTCTATCTGTTGAGTGCTGTATACATAAGGGCTTGTTGGCCAGACTCTGTTGATGTAAGATGTCACTGTATCATTTACTTTAATGGAGCCTTGCTAGTTTACACCGACAAAGAACTTGTCCCACAGTAGCCCCAGCCTCAGCGCTTTTCATGTTCTGCTGCTTCTTGAATGAATGCATTCATTAACAAGAGAAAATTACAGCAAGGGGAAGTTGGTGAAACAGCCTCTCTTTGGGGCCTTTGCAAGAAAATGATGAGAAAGCACAGATGGCTCAGAAAGCAAGAGGGAAAAGCTGTGAACAAAGCAAGACAGTAGTGAGGGGGGGAAGGTGCCGCAGGAAATAGGCGGCATGATGGAAAAAGGATTAAAGATACCTGTTTATCTCCCAAACTAGCCACATGAATCAAAGCATAAGAGCCTTTAAAAAACTTTCTCAACCTGGCAAACGGAGCACTTGAGGTGTTTAACACTGAATTATTTATTCTGACCCTGAAGCATTGTGCCCAGTTTTCTCAAAGCAGTGAAAAAGGATTTGCACATTTGCAGGCATTAAATTGTATCTTGAATCTCTAAAAGCTGGTGACTCTTAAGAACACCATAGTCAGTTTAATCTTTTTTCTCCCCCTTGGTGCTACACCCCTTTTTTGGCAGCACCAGTACGTGAGCCTAAGAGGATAGGGATGGTCACAATGGCTCAGACCAGAGGCCCATCTATGCCAGCATCAATCTTCAACGACGACTGATAGCAGATGCCCGGGGAAGGGTGTAAGAACAGAATGAGCAGGGAGTCGTGTTTCCTCAGCGCACTTTCCTCAGCCTCCAAGGACTTTCTGAATTGCAAGATCAGCATTTGTGGAGATAATAATCTAAGGATTCATCCATCTCAAAATGCCAAAGTCAAGCCTTAAGTGATCCCAAAAGGTTGGCTGATGCAAATGCTCGCTTGTATGCATATGAAAGTCAGAACTGGAGCTTTAAATAAGTCTAAAACAAGGTTTGAAACATGATCAGAAGCTACAGGAGTCCTCTGAATTTGCAGAGAATGCCACAAATAGCCAAGTATGACAATAGTGAATGTGTTTTCAGATTTAGATCCGTGAGTCATTGCATGTCTCTTTGCACAAAGCTAAAAAGGGAGGAGATACAGCTTCAGCTAGCGTCAGCTAGCTCTAGGTCTGTGCGCTGCAAACTGGCAGCCGTTTTTGACGTTGCAGATGGTTAATGCAATGTAGTGCAAAGGTGCATGAACTTTTTTTAGTTTATTGTGCACAGTACTGAAATAAACCCCCAGCCAAAGTTCTGAGTATTTGCACTGATAGCTTAAAATACTGTTTTGCAAAGAACAACTTCATCAGCTGCTTTTCCAGAATGTCAAAATAATAAAAACAACTACTCAGAAAAAGGGGAAAAAAAAGTCAAGATACCTTTCTGATAATACTGATCTGAGGCATTTCTCTTTTTCTCTCAAAGAGTCAGAAAAATAGTCACATATCGATCCTAGAGGTCAGCAAATTGAGGCAGTTTGGCACTTAAGGAGATGAAAATAAAACACATTTCTCATGTATTCTCATGTGCTCTACGTAGAGTTTTTTCATATTTTTTCCACTGTTTTTTCTTCTCCTTCCTTATATTTGGTGAAACACTGATGAAGATTTTGATTGTTAGCTGTGATGTACTTGTACGTACTGGGCCTGATTCTGAACCAATGGCCATCAGCTTGAGAGAGAGGCCTAGCTTCTCCTTCTCTCATGTTTATATGGGAGTAAATGAGAGCAGAATTAGATCCGGAGAGACTTTGGGCATGGGTAAGGGAAAAAGCAGTGCATGTTTAAGACAAAATAACAAACAGAGCAATCATTACCTTGGCGATGAAGTAACTTGAAGTCAATTGATCCCCTGTAGGTGATGGACGGCAGGTGCCACCAAAGCCTCCTAGAGGCAACCCACGTGGTCCACCCCAGTTAGAGATCCCCCCGCCCCCACCTTACCCTCCTCCCGACACAGGCAGTACGGATCCCGCAGTCTCTTACAGAGAAGCAGACGTTGCAGCGCCAACAGAGCTGGTACCTAAACGTATGTTACAAAATATACGTATTTGCATCTCATCTCTTTTGATGGGGATACTCTCGGGGGTAACTTTTCCAGACTTTCCTCTCTGCTCTCTTGGCATACTTGTCTGTTTTTTTTCCCCCTTTTCTGGCCTGTCCTCTTTTGAAATGCCCAATGCAGTGTAACTAATTAATATAACGTACATGAAGCACGTGTTTGGAGACAGTTTTGCTGATGATGCCTGGCCGTCCTGTAGAAACATTTACAAACAGCCGTCAAACCGGGTGACTTTATGCAGCTGGAAGCAAAACTTTGATGTTACATATTAATGTGCTGTGTTTGTTTTTCTATGCTAATGTTTTTTCTGTGTCTCCTGAGAAATTCCTTTGAGAGCCAGTAGGTCTATCAGTTGAGGTTGGAAACTGCTGGGGGCCTCCCTTCAGGAAAATGAAACCATTTACACCAGCTGTATATTGTTAAAGGCCTTCCTGTCTCAAGGGGTACATCTTCCTTGCCATCCCTGGATAGTCCTTTGCATGCTCTTCCCCTCAGGGCATAACTATTATCAGATAAAGAAAAAGGATAGTTTCCACATCCCTGTGTATTTGTGAAAAGCATGTTTTCATGCTAAGTCCATCGACTGCCTTTAAATCTTTGTATGCAATACAAGTCTTTGATCATGTAAAATACTCCCTGTGGGCTTGGCCTGCACACCCATGTAGCTCCCCTAAAAGGCAGCGAAGCTCTGCACATCATGGCGTCTGGTAGGCACACTTGTTTGAAGGTGAAGAGAGAGAGAGCGTCTCCTAACCATAAGGTAGTGAAATGTCTCCATTAACTGCTAATTTGACAGCGGTCTTTTCCAGGATGTTTTTGTCACAAAGATTATTCTGCAGGTAGCTCTTGCTCTGACATTACTAATGGTGTGTTTGAATATCAGCTAGATGCAAAGCGTTGGTTTTCAAAACTGCGCTGAGGAGATGCAGACTGGCAAGTTTGGTGGTGAAGAGAGAAGGAAGTCGAGGAGATTCATACTAATGAAAAACCTAAATCTTACTGAGGATTAGCTGTTACATTTTTACCAGCGTATGCACAGAAATCGTATCATAGTTGGAATATTTTCTTTTTTTATTACATACCATCAGCTTGCCTACAATGTTCCCTTTATTAAAAATCTGTTGTGGCCTTCTTTGCATTAATGTTTCTGCTTCATCTGAGTGTCTGCCATTACAGTCTTTAGCAATGCTTTCCTGATTACGCTGGTGATCAAATACACTTTAATCAATGCAACTCTGATTTTATCAGCTAGATCATTTGCTCTTAAACAAACACAATATCCTAGCCAAAATGATTTGATTAAGCTTGTACATGGAAACATTACATGAGCTTTTATTATCCTGTGCTTACTGAGAGCAAAGGGGTAATGCTTAGTGGATATTTTAGAGATGTAACACATGGAGAGCATTTTAGAGACTTAAAGTTTTGGAAAGGGACACATACAACTTCTTAATTACGCTCTACTCTACCTAGAGATGTGATGTTTGGTGTGTGTATAGATTTACCCATGAGAGAAAGCAGCACACATGACATGCTAATTATATTGCCTAATGCCATGCTGAAAGGTGCTTAGATACCGTCACGATTGAGTAGTATAAGAACAGAGTTTTGCAATGAAGTTCTTTATTACATGAGAATGCCCTAAGCACTGCAAGTAGGACTTTGGCAGTAGATTCAGAGAAGAACAAAGTTCTCAACCTTCCTAACTCTAACCACAGCAACTATGTTTTCACATAGCACAAGGTGGGAAGGAGAATAAGCTGCTGGTGCCAGGTATTGATGAAAGGCGTATTTGTTCTGGAATCACTCTAAAAACAGCTTTCCCTGATGAGGATTGTGGTCGTCTTTTGCTGAGCGGGCGAATGTCAGTACCAGTTTGTCTTTCACAAGATTGCGATTCCCATTCAGAAATTAAAATTCTGTGATCATGTGGGGTTTGAATTCCTGCCCCGTATCATCTGCCACTGTTTGCGAGGCTTCGTGCCCCACCTCGCACTCCTTCCTAGCGAGGACACAGTTGTCCCATTGTACTCGGAGAAACTCGTAGTGAGGAATCCTCGTTTCATAGATGATGGTGGTAATTGCTCTTCACGGAGTTTTCCAAACTTATGTAGAGCACAAGTCATTCTTGAATAGGCCCTTCAGTAGGATACTTGAGCGTTCATGGCTGTAATGGTAAGAGTCGCTCCCCCAAACAAGAGTGCAATTGTTCCTCGTGGTTTTTGCTCTTTAATCTTTTTATTCTCATTAAATGAGCTTTCCTATTAAATTTTGGTCTGACAGACCCTTAGCTGCATGTTGTGTGCATGTCTAAAATGATGTGTTTATGGGATCCTTTCTCGTCTTATTAATCAGATTGTTCATGGCCTGTGATTTTAAAATTGGCTGTGCTTTGGTAATACAGAAATGGAATTTGTCACCTCTGTTGCATGGAGTTTACTTGTGTCACACAGATTGCAAAGATCTCAATAAATCAGTCAATAGAGAGGTTGTACTACTTACAGCAGGTAAAGAATGCATTTATTGAAAGTTTGCAGTACCAAGAAGAGCAATTAAACACGCTGTCTTGAAATATTTGCAAGTACATCGTTAGAATAGATTTATTCTTCCTATGAACCTCTGTTAGTAGCCCTTTTTTGGATTGTTATGAACTATCATGTAGAAATGCAGTAAAAAATTAAAAAGCTGATTGAAAAAGGATAATTCACCTTCTTGTGGAGTGAGATCCTGAGGTTAAATCCTCCACTTCACTCTTACACTAGGTAAAGTATTAAGTGAAGTCAGAGTTTGTATTGTATAAAGGTTTGGTGATTAATTGATTTTTAAATTACTGAAAGTGCTATGTTTTTAAAAATGCAATTATGATGTGAATCTGTCTTTGTTTTAGTTATAAATCTAAACAATCAATCATCACTTAACCAGAAAATTTGAAGGGGAAGGAGTGTGTGTAAGCATTTTCCAGTTACTTTGCAGAGGTGACATGTATACTACTGGTTGACGGGTAATACAAGGTTCATTTTAAGGAACAGAGAGAATACAAAGGAGCCTTGTCCCCATATCCAATTTTTAATATTTTGCATGATATCATGGATATAATAATGGGTGGTACAGCCCAAGTGACAAAAATCGTAGCAGGCTCACAATTTGGTCATATTTCTTCAGTCACCAGACAAATATCTAGTCTTGCACATTTGTTAGGGATAGCCTCTAAGGGCTGGACTTTGTTAACTTTGAACAAAAGTAGGTGGAGGAACTCATAGAGAGGAAACCACGTTTTCCTAGATGCGATTTTAAATTAATTGAGAACTGCAGGCTGCTGAGTAGAGAATTTTGCTTGCCTGTCGTAATGCAGTGCTGTCAAATGATGAAGGCAGCTGTCAAATGACCCTGCCTTTTCTTTCTTAGAGGTGGTCTTTAGTGCGTGAAAACGTGGAAGTGTGACTTGGAAGGCTCACACCGCCATCATTTCTCTTCTTGCTAAAGCCTGGTGTGAGGGTAGAGAGTGAAGTTCAGTCTCCGACATCATCTGCCTTGTACCTTCCGGAGAATGAAAATTCAGTCCAAGTAAAGCTGAATTCATAGACACACTGAATATCAAGAGGTGTTGTGTTGTTGGAATCGAGTTAGCTTGCACATGAAGCCAGGAAGTCAGTCTCATAGTGTGAGGGAGAGTTGTTGGATTTTAAAATGCCTCTGGATTTCAGGACATGTGCACGTAGTAATGCCTCCTTTGGAAATCTCATTCTTTAAGGTTACTGAGCATGCTAGCCATTCTACTGTTTTATCTACACCATATTTATAATTCTATCATTTTACTCTTTTCCCCCAACAGTTTATTGTTGTGCATCATTCCCTTCATACACCAAGCGCGTCTGACAGACCTTGCCTCTTCCTATGACCTTCATACCTCTGCACCTCCTGTTGCCTCTGCTATCCTGATTCTTTCTTCCTTCTCTGCTGAAAAAGAACCTTTTTTTCTGACTGAGATTTTGGCTTCCTTTCTTTTTGAACTTGCACATTTTCTTTTGATTACTATTGATTATTTTTGGCTGTGGTTCACGGTCATTTGAGAGATGTGTTCTTCAGAACGGAATGCTGTGTTATAAAATCTGTATGTCAGCCTCAGAATGATTATCCATACATTTGTCTGTTCTTTTTCAAATGGTTCTCCTTATTTTGAGTCACTGTTTAATTTGATTTGGTGTTTCAAAGAGTGTGTGCATGGGGGAAGGTTTCTTACTTTCAGTACTGTCTAAGGATTTTGTCTAAAGACATTTTGCTCTTTCCTGTCGGTCCAGGTATAATATCTTACGGTCTCAGACATGTTCTCAGACAAATAGAACATGTCCACAAATCCCTCACCACATTTGCTTTGTTCCCCTGGAACAGAGCGGGAATGGGGCATGGCCTAGTCAACTTGAAGTGCAAGAATCTTTCTATACCTTGGCTATTGATCAAGGTACCAAGGGGGAAAAAAAAATAGAAACCTAAAGATCTGTCAGACTCATAAGGGGCCTAAGGGTATACTGAGAATATGCACATATTTATACCACATGCATTGATTCATCAGCTTTATTTCTGCTTTCATACTGATGCTTACTATGATTAATTTTGTCTTGATGCTGGAGACATCCTATGGAAATCAAAGTGTGTGTTCTGTTTCTGTAACAAAAGATACCAACACTATTTGCTCAAGATAAATCTTGTTCCACAGGTCTACCTTTTTTTCAGCTGTAACAGAAATATTCAATACGTAGTAATTAAAATTTCTGCTATAAGATTGTACTTACCTAAAACCTTTTTTTGTTGAAGAAATTTCTTCCTGTGAATGGCCCATAAGGCATATTTTTTTAATCATTTTGAATTATAAAGACAGATTTTATACGTTGCAGTGGTGCACACACCCAGAACAGTTTTGACCTCACATGTCAAGAGATTTAAGACAGCTATATTATGTAAATGAGTGA